TTACTCAGCAGTCTAAACCATCAGGTTAGGGTTTAATACGTAGAAGATACTAGAAATACAATTGTACATATATATAGGATCTACAGAATAAATTACAATGAAGCAGCAACCTAGAGCACTGTGGCCTCCATGCCTAGAAGACCGTTAGGAGAATGGTGAGGCATGGCATCTTCAAAACTTCTTACCTGATAGTTTCCCGTCTTAAATCAGTGATATCAGTGATTATGCCATTGTGATTACTCTTATCTTTCTTCCTACAAATTCCCCAGGAAAAAAAATGTGATAAACTCTCTCAGATGGACATAGTAGTTGTTTGAAATGTCCACTCTGTGGTTTCCAGAACCATCCAGATTTTGGATACAATTTGCTTGTTTTATCACTTTGTTCACAGTTTCAAGAGTTCTTTTTTGAGGCTGCATATATACATGGTATTTCCAGCTTTAATTTTTTGCTCTCTGAATTCAAATATACCCAAAGTCATCTTGAGTTCAAATATACAGCCCCCTCCAAAAGCCATCTGCTCTTTGTTCTAGCCTAGTCAGGTATTAATTTGACTTCACTTGACTGTTCAGCCTTTGAAGTTCTGCACTCGTGTTTCCCTCAGCTTTATTTAGCCTTATATCAAATTTAAAGCCCTGTCAGATTAACATTACTTGTTCACATATACCAGCTCCACAATTTAGAAACTCTGCCAAACTGTGGTCTGGATCTTTTGTTTTCTAACTTACTTTCCATATTGTTTCGGCAAGCCTTTCCGACTCTGAAAATGCAGTCTAGTGTTTTGTTTTGTTTCAAAACTCCAAAATTATTTTTTAATACCAATAATAACAACTTTAAAAGGTCAGGCAAAACATTGTAACTCCTGAATTTTTTGTGTCATAACTTGGCCCAGCTCCCAGGCTGGACAGGTGATGGTTGTTGCAAGTGGATCCAGCCACTAAATCCCATCTCTCAATCCCATCTGCTTCTGAATTCCCTGAATTCGGCAGGAGAGCAGGAGGGGTGATGACTGTGGGTAGCACTGAGTCTTCTGAGCACACTTGGAGGTACAGACCTGGAGTCTGATGTTCATTCTGTCTGGCCATTATTTCCTTACTAGAGCCTCTTCATGCTGGACAGATGCTGGAATTGCACGGTTCTGCGTTCCCATGTGCTTAGATTCATACCCCAAAAGATTTTATAATTGTGGGACCCCTGGTTAACTGCAAAACCAGAGATTTTTTCAGAGACAAATTAGTAAAATAATGAACACATGTACTAGGAATTCCTAACTGCAAGCAGTTTATTCTTAAAAAAAAAAAAAAAATGATTAAAGTTGAAGAGCTTGGGAAGCAGCATCTGGAATGCAGCTCCCTGATCTTACTGGGCTAATGTGCAAGTACAGATTCTGGTTGGTATCTTTGGGTAAAGCAGAACAGCTCACACACTCCTCTTTCCATTTGATCTGTTGGTTGTGAAGAACAGACCCCTTAGTGAGAAAAACAACCATCTGTTTAAAATGTCTTTATGCACTTGCCTTTGGAATTTTTCCCTGTCCAGATCATTGGCCTTGATAGTTTGTTCCGCTTCTCTGTAGTGCTGGTATGGAGAGGTGACACAGCTTGAGAACGAGGGTATTGATGGAAGGGGAGGTAGAGGCAGAATGGATGTAGACCATGCAACAGAAATACTGTCTTCGAATGTCTAAGTTTCAGTATTACTATCTTACAGTTTCAGAATTGCTCCATTAGTGCTATATTTTCCTAGCACAGTCAAAGCCTTACCTGTACAAACTTCATTATTCCACAGCGGAGGGGGTGACTCAGTGCTGGTTGCTCTTCTTGTCAGACTTCTCTGAGGGAGGTGGCACCTGGGACACTGATGTTGAGTTTTCTCTTCCAGCTGGCTATCTTAACCTAACAGGCTGTTTCTAACACGGGGTGAAAATCACATTAGAAGTAGTCAGAAAGCTTTCACAGTAATCAAGAACTTTGGATTAACAAGATTTACTTTCAGTCCTAATTGGTAAAAGTGTAAAGCCTTAGACTTCTGAAATTATTGATTTGTTATCTTAATTCTATTGGAGGGAATCCTGTAATAATGTTCATCTCTTTTTAATAAGATTAAGTTCCTAATTTGAACTACATATTTTAGCTGTTTTGAATTCTGATCAGATTTTTCAGTGGGAGATCAGAATATGATACACTACACCAGGAAGAAAAAATGGGCTGTTGAGGCAGAAGAGCAGGACCTCTGCAGGCATGCCTTCACACCCATTCGCTAACTTTCCTTTGACTACTGGGACAAATGCTGACCTCTGGTGGCTTACAACAAGAAGCTCTAGAAGAGCTTAATGGTTTTTGGTGGCTGAAACTCTACTGTGTTCCCCCGGAACTGTAAGCATCCTTGGCTAGGAGATGACATGGGTTTCAGGCAGCCTTTGGGCTGTCTGATGTGAAGAAGGGGAAATCATATTTCTTTTTTTTTTTTTCCACTTCCTCTCACTCCGCGAGAGAAAGAAGGTGATTTCCATTCCTTTTACTCAGGCTGATTTTCTCCAAGGTTATTTGATGCTGTGCATCAATTTTCAGAGCTGCCTGAGGTTCATGTGCCCCACACGGCAGAGCAAATGAGGTCCTGGTCTGAGTGCTTAGCCTGCAGGCTTTGGGTACTAATTAATAAACTTCAGCTGCAGTCACACACACAGTATTTGGAAGTAATCGAATAAAGACAGACTGACTTGCTGTTCTTTACTTAGTTTTCAACACTACTCAGGAAGTTTCATTCAAGTTTTTTGCAGTGCTCTCAAATGAAATGCTGCAGAGATGCAGTGAAATACAGATTTACTTCTGTGACTTCATTTTCTGTCAGTAGGCTCCTCAGAAAATCATTCAAGGGCTTCTGGGCTTAGTTATGTTATAAGACTGAAAGGTGGTGCAAAATTGTTAATAGATCACAATGTGTGTGAAAAAGGTCTGTAGGACCTTTTGGAGCATTTAACTTTCAAGCAAGATACAGCTGTGATGTTGTATGGATAAATTTGTGCTTTTTAACATGAGTTTGGTCTCTTGACCAGAGAACATATACATAGCAGCAAAGTTATACAATAACAGAAAGGATCAGTAAAGAAGGAGAAATCTTCTCTATTAATCCTAATCCCCCTCTCCCTGTCCTCTGAAAAATCCATACAGTTCATTTCCAGATTTTGCTTTCCTTTTTTTGCATTTATGCCTAAGCAGCCTTTGCTGCTACATGAGAGCTGCTAGCAAAAGCTGTGCTGCTGGCATAGCGCTGCCCGACTCTGTCTGGGACTTCATGTCCTTCCACTGCAGTGCAGCATGATTCATTACAAGCAGGCTCTGCCATGGGATATTATTTGTGCACCAGGACTGGCATTCTGAATAATCATAAAAAAGAAACGGCTGATGGCTGAGCCACCAGTTACAGAAGAATTACAGTGGAATCTCCAAGATTTCTCTTCTTTTTTTTGGGAGGAGGGGGAAAGGGAGTGGGGATGGTGATGCTGTAGATAAGTATGCTGGTGGTGCTGCAATGACGTAAAAAAACACTCCTTCAAAAACCTATGTCAAAGACATGGTTGCTGAAAAGGAAGGAATATGAATAGCAGTGCAACGGTGAAGATAAGGATGTAACTTGATTTAGGCTGCTAAAATTCTCTAATGCCAGGTTTCATGTGTGATGGAATACATTATTTTTGCTAGAGGGTTAAACACTTTGTCCCTCATCTCAGCTGGCATTTATGGATTTCCAGGTCTGCCTGCTGAGAAGTAAATTAAATATGTAGCTGCTTCTCACCTTTCCTCTGTGGTTGTACTAATGGAAGACAATTTTTATCTCCAGTAATACGGATGATGATCATCGCTGCTGAGATTTATTTTTTTTTTGGTATCAAGAAGGATGAGAAATCTGCATTATTTCCAGAAGGATTTGGATTTCTGAACGAAAGGATAATAAGCATGCTTCATTTTCTTAAAGCTATGTCTAGGAAATTGGTGGCATAGCAAGCCTACACAAACTTTGTAAGCATGGCTGAAAAAGAAAGATGAACTGCTTTAGGATGTCCTTGAAATATGATGTTGGATGGGTTTTTTAACTTCACTTGGAAGGTTTGGCTCTTTTTCTGTCAAAAGTTGCCTTTTGCATGTGCTGTTCAAGATCCATTAAATGTCAGATGGAGGTTAGGAAGCCAAGGGTAACTGTTCTCTTTTTATGTATTTATAATAACTTTTTTCTTGTGTTACCATTTCTGTTAACTTTTTTTTTTAAATGTGCAGGACAATTGGCATTTTATATCGAAGTGGTTATGTATTACTGTAAGCGCTGTTAAAAGTATATATGAATTCAATTTAATTGAATGCTTTATGGTAGATTTTCATTTAATTTTCCTTTCTATTTTATGCAGGAATTAAATATATGTAAACATGTTATTAATGTGTTTGCCTGTTTATATAAAGTATTTCCATAGGAACATGCACTCAATAGACAATTACAGCTAGAGATTTCTGTCTAAATTGTATTTTCTGGAATAAAATACATTTAACTGAATAGAGTCACATGCTGACAGTGCCAGAGGCAAAGAAACAAACGGAATTGTTTTTATTTGAAAGTATTCCTTTCAGTGACAAGATTATCATAACATGCATTAGCTGCAGAGCACTGCTGAAAATTTCTCTTTTAAGAATGAGTTAATATAAGACAATTATTTTGTCTGTCTTTACCTTTCTCCCTTCCCCTGCTCCCAGCCGTGCCAACTTCACCATCATCGCATTTTTCAGCTGTTTCCCGGATCTGTGTGTGCCAGCCAAGAGTAATCTGTCAGTGTCAGCGCTTAAAACTGCTGTTGTTTATTTACTACCCTAATTATATACCAGATTTACAAACTTGCTTTTTAGAAATGCTTTCTTAGGTACCTCAGCAAAACTGGTAGCAATGTTTATCTGATTATGCTCACACTCTCCCCATTTTTTTCCCTTTCCCTTGTCTTCCTCCCCCTGCTCCAGGAGCCCAGTAACAAACGGGTCAAGCCGCTTTCCAGAGTTACATCACTAGCGAGTCTCATTCCTCCCGTACGAGCCACTCCACTGAAGCGGTTCGGCCAGACACTTCAGGTAATCACAGTAAATGCATTGCTGCCTTAACCTCTATTGCTAAAAGGGGAATGCAGACCTATTCACAATCACTTCTAGGGTTAGCATGGGAATGTGAACTGTACGTAGGCCCACGCGCACCGCTGTAATGGGCCAGATGGGTTTAGATGGCTTATGACTACAGGGTCGCTCAACTTAAAACCTCAGAACTCTCATCTCCGAAAACCACTTCTCTGACCAGATAATTGATGGGCTTTAATTACCAGTAAGAAAACAATTGCACCTGTAGCATATAAAAGTTGTTATACTAAAGGATTACGATTGCTTTTTTAAATTTGATGAACAGAATTTTCCGTGACACTTTCTATTGATTTTGGGTGGTTTCTTTGACAATGTTATTTTTGGTATAGTTAGTCATGTAGGACTGCTAAATTTCCTTCTGTGTAGTGAACTTTGACCTTGCCTACATAAGGTTAGTGAACAACTGGAAAACAGTCATTTTTCCAATGCTGCTGATGAAAACTAATAAAGGGCAAGACAATTTTAAATGCAGTTTAGAAATGAAATTATTTTGTTGTTGCAGTTTCTATATTATAGATTAGGTGCATAATATTTAACATAAATTAAAGTTCCATTAGTCTCTAATTATAAAGTATTTGTGCCTTCCAACCTAGAAACTGCAAAACATTTGGGTGCTCAACTCCTAATGGTTATCAGGAGTGGTAAATGGTTGGAAGCTGCAGGACTGCTGTGGGTCAGGCCTAGAAAGCCCAACTGCTTCCTTTTTACAACAGTTGATGTAAGGAGGTGTGTATAAGATTTGAAGAAAATTATTTAACAAGCCTAATTTCTTTGATGAGAGGAAATACAAAAATACCTTGAATGTATTAAAAATGTTACTTAATCAAAATTAGCTTAATTGGAGCATTACTGAAGTTATGCTAATCTTGAGGAGGAAAGAAATAAAACCTTAGAGCTAGGAGTTTTATGACAAATAAATAAAAAGTCGTGGGAAAGAACTTAATTTTTCTGTAGTGGTAGTTACCTAGAAAACAGATATTACAGGGTTTCTTAAACATTGGCTTTTGAGTGTTTGGTTCCTGTGATTTTGGAAGTGCAGACATCCGCACACAAAAGCCGCATGTGTGGGCTGGAGGAGAGGCAAAATGGCTGAACTCCTCTCAGCCTGGGTTTGATCCAAAAGGTGTATTATAGCGTGACTAGAGCAGAGATGCCTGTATTCCCTGGGGTGTATAAATCTCCTCCATAGTCTGCCTCCAGGAAAAAATTGGCCCGACTCTGAAAGGACTACATTAGTTCCAGTTGTGAGGAGTGTGGAAAGTGAATTAATTCTTGGCTAAATTGCTTCTGAGCACGGCGCTTCCCTTTTCACAGCCTTAGACAGCTGTTGTCCTCATTTAAGTACCTACACTGTCATTCGGTAGCCTTTGAGACTGGGTTGTCCAGTACAATATTGTATTTAATGAAGTTTGATTTAGACTATCCGAAACAAACTATTCTTTCATGCATGTAGTAGCAGCTTCCCGAGATGAGAATTACATAAATGTGTTTCAGGGAAAATTTTGACAAAAATAGGAGAGAAAACAGTGGCTTTGTTGCAAGTCCTAGTGTTGCAAGCATTTCTGTCTTGCTCTGTTCATACCAGTTATAAGAATATATTTAATTAACTGTCTGCTTCTAAGCAAATTAAACAGTGCTGTTATTCATACCACCTTCTCTGAGTAACTATGTGCTCAAAGGAACTGTGATGAGAAATCAGCCTGTATGTTCTCCAAATCCTAGGTCTGAATCTATTTCCAAGTGATGAATGCTGGCGATGTCTCTCAAAACTGCCTTCATGGCTGGCTGTAAATTGAATTGTTATCTAATTTTGTCAGCAACAATAGAACAGGGAAAAAAAGACTGACCTTCTTGTGCTCGGGTGCCCCATTTGGAATTATTTAGAAACATTCTGGAAAGCATGTATAGCTTTTTTTACTTTATTATGTATTGACATGGCTGTCACTGTGCCTTGTGCAACAGTATAGAGCAGGATTTTTTTTCATGGTGTAACACCTGTAAAAAGAAAACAAGTGTTGATTTTTCTTACTGGATGAACTTTTATATATCTTTATTGTTAAGTTATTTCAGTCAAAACCCATGTTTCTTCTTGCATTGCTGATAGATATTCTGTATCTGTAAAATGAAGAAAACCACTATCATCACCACAGCATCCAAAACAAACAACTTCCTCCCCTGGAAGAAAACCAATCAAAGCCAACAGAACATCCATCCAAAAAGACCATTCCAACAGCAACAGTAAAAGGAAATAGCAAATTCTGAGTTTCCTTGATGGCATTTCAAAGAAACCTTCTTCTATATTCTTTCTGAATGGAAGATACATGTAAGAGGAAAGAAAAAGTTTATTGTGCCTAATTTTCCTACCTCTGTACATGTAACTTCCACTTTATATTAACGGACTTTCTGGATGCAGGTTGAAGAGAAACACCTCTGTGTCTGAGATCCATGTAGTGTCTTTTCAAATGTGTTCTTAGCAACTTTTCGTGTTTTGCATGTTTTATTGATTATAGAGGTATTTGATTGTTTTGTGTCATCTTAATTTTATTACAATTTTCCACATTATTGTCAATACTTTTCCACAAGGATTCCAAGTAACAAAACACATAAAGTCTTTCCAGCTTTCTTTCTGGGGTTTTTTTGGCTATTTGTAGTTACTCTGTTTCTGTCACATTGGCCACATAGACTAATTGGCTAATATAATGCTCTTAGTTTCATCTCTGACAGAGTCTGTCTGTGTATCTGCAGGATACCAAATGCTAAGCAGGTATTCTTATTTGTTTATCCACCTGGAAAACCACTTTATTTCATAGCTGTGTTTTCAGTCTGCATCAGGCTGGACTAATGATGATGGTGATCTGCTTGTTTCTGCTTGGTCTTATTCACAGCTGTGCTGTTCAGCTTAAAAGCTGAAAATAGGATCAGAAAAAGAACTCCAGCTGATGCTGAAGAGAAAAATTGAAGTCTGGCTAGCTTCCTCTGCAACTTTATTTTTCATCAGCGTGTCTTGAATTTAAGTAGGGAGTCCAAATTATTTATATCTATCTTAGGACACTGGAAATCTCTAAAAATCCTTAAGAAGAAAACTCTTTTCAGCATCGTTTGTTAATGTTAGAACTTAGATCTGTAGTGCCCTATTCCCAGTAAATGAAGCTGCTTGCTTTACTGCGGCTGAAATTGTTTGTTAACTGCATGAATTAACATCAGTAACACATTGATCCTTCATAGTAACGGTCCTGTAACAGCCAGTGAAAGCGATTGCAGTCAGATAAATACAGTAAACAAAATCAAGGGTTGTGGCTGTATTCTTCCCCAGCTCCTTTAGTTTTTGGAAGCATATGAAAATTTTAATAATCCCAGATGGTCATAATTTTTGACCAGTATTCTGGACATGTTTTTAAAGGAAGCCAACAACTAGGAAAGTATTTTTAAAAGACTGGAGACCTAGAAATATTGTTTTGACAGTCCTACAATTCTTTCATGGGATTCTATCACATGACTTTTTTTTTTTTTTTTTTTCCCCCCTCTCTCTCCTTTATGGCCAGTACCAACCAAAGATACCATCAGAGTATCTTTAAACTTGTTTTTTTTAAATTTCTGGTAGAACTTCAATTTAGGGCTCTATTCCACTAAACTGAAATGGGTCTGTTTTTCTGAAAAAAAAATAAATGGGTAAAGTAGTGGAACTGAGATTGTTAAACTCATGTATATTTATCTTAAACTATGACAGAGTTTTATTGAAATAATTTACTGTTTATTTAGGCATTTCTTAAAATAGGCTTATATATCAGATTTACATCTCATTTCTATTCTTGTCTGTTACAGCATTGATTATTCAAGTATGCTTGACTCTCAAGCAAGAAAGTATTAATTTTAGCATTAAATAGTATTTCCCTGGTGATGTGTTAGCTTGTCTCTTAATAGGTTTATAAGCCAATTTCTGCAAAGGAGAAGATAATATGTAAAATAAGCTTGGATTCTACACTGAAGTTTGTGATTCCCAGCCTAACTAGATTTCAGTGTACCAGGATAAGTCAGTCAGCGTTTTTGCCTTCGCTGTGTAAGTGTATAAAAGAAGGAAACGTGCCAGACAAAGAAACCACTGGCACTTGAAGCGAATTTTGTCCTCATTGTTAAATAACACCCCAAAACATTTATTTTCCTTTCCACTAATAAATATCCCCAATCCAATGTTCCTTATTAATATTAAGCAAGGTACATTTTGTATGGTTAATTAAAAGGCTGATGTGTGAGAGAAATCAATTAAATATTTACTTACTGTGTCCAGGTAGCAAAGATGTTAAGCAAGCAAGCAGGATTTTGGGGAGTTTGGTTTCCTTTTGAGTGTCTTAGCCTTTTCGTGCCCCCTCTGCTCAATGGAGAACAGTGTAGGGCTGTAGAGAACAGTATCAAGTGTTCTCATGCAGCATAAAGACACATTACTGTCAATAGATGTAAAAGCTTACTTCTCTGAAAACACTGTATGTAATTTCAGTTTGCTGTTACAGGTGCATGCCATTTTGTAATATGTTATATGACTTTTTGTTAAAAGGTTTCAAGATCAAGGCATTTACTTTAAAAATCAGGCTGTCTGGTGCTGTTCCTGACAAGTACTTTCTTTATTCAACATAAAGCATTCCTCTAAGAAAACACCACCACAAACAAAGAGAGCTATATACTGGAGGGTGCATATGGGAATGCATGGAAAGGGGCATTCCACCTTGGGTCATGGAATGACAACTGTTCTGCTTGGCTGCGTTCTCATGGTTGGTGGTTTGTGGATGCAACACACTACCTCTTTCCCCCTAATATTTCCATTTGCATGTGAAAATAACAGGTTCCATGATTCATCATTATAACAAGTGGAAATTAAGCATGTAATTTCACATGTGTTTCTTTATCTTCTTTACGCTTGAAGGAAGACTAGCACCTGATTTGCAAAGTTTTGGAAGGTTGGGGGAGAGGGTGTGTGTGTGTTTATTTTTAGGGGTTCTGTCAATTCCAAGTAGGGCTCAAAATGGCTTCTGTTAAAAGGCACAGTTTTTATTTATATAATATGTCTTTTGATATTTTAAAAATATATTGTATTTATAGGCACTGTTTGCATTTCATGGGCTCTTATCTTCAGAGGAGAATTTCAAATATGGTACTTTGTATATGCTGCTTTCAACCTGGAAATGAAGAGAATTTATTTTATTTTAAATATTCTTATACAAGGAAATTGAAAGACAATTGTGTTATGTAAGGCAGGTTTTAAACAACAACAAAAATGTAGAGTATTCCAACAATGTGAAATACTTGAGGCATCTCAGAGGTAGGACCTCAAAAAGAAGCCTCTAATTTTAAGGAAGTGAGAAAGGAATCTTTTCAAAACAGGACAGTGAGAGCATAAAATATCCATCTGTAGCCTGAACTCTTTCTAAGAGTCTACAGGCAAACAGAACTCTCAAGTCTCACTTAAAATTGGACGTGTCTTTATTGAAGTTTAAGACCAGACCACAAAATAGATGCTGGTACGCATCGTCAGAGTTAGAGGCTCCAGAAATATTGGTGAAGATTGTACAACAGTAGGACACAATACTGGTATTTCACAATTTGCTATCTGCTAGCACTGATTGTTTAACACGTTTCTTCAAATGCTGAGAAATAAGTAGGAACCAGCTGTGTGAAAAGAATCTGGCTTGTTGCTTGTCATAAACATTAAAATCTGAATATTGACATACCTTTTCCTTAGAGATAGTGTGATTGTTCTCTTTTCAGTCAGATACCCACTTCACACCTTTCTATGTGAATTAGTTCCTTGATCTCACACATCTGAAGAAGCAGGATGTTACCAGTTGAAAGGGTTTCTCATGTATCAAAACCGGTTTGGTCAGTTAGAGCATTATAGTGTTAATTGTTTAATCCTGCTTATGGACAGATCTGGAATGCTTATACCAATCAAATCTTTCATGATTCTGACAGCTTACAAAAAAAAAAAAGTACTACGATCAGGTAGCAAGACACTTACTAAGGTAAGAGGAAAGGTTTTGAAGGGCAGTCTCACATTATAAAGCCTCTTGCTGCCCAACTGAGAAAACATTTTTTTCTTAAACCATTAATATGTGTTTGATGTAATGCACCTTTTAATCTGATATCCTCGAGGTAGGGCTTATTGTTTCTCAGTACAAAGATCTTTGAACAATCCCACCCCCCAAAAATAAGCAAACCCCAACAATTCTGTTGACTTTCAGTTGATACACAAGTTTATCTACCAGTTTTTGCTGTCCTAACTTTCTACAGTTTCTGTGTAACAACTGAATCTTTCTTTCAAAATCAACCAAAAAAGTTTTCATACTAGTTTTGTCTCTAAAATTTGCATTAATTGAAAATTTTCAAGTATTAGGGATCTAACAAGGCAGATATGTGTAATGCATGAATTATTCCTGTCTGTTTACTGAAGTGAAACTTTGTATCAGTTATGTTAATTTAGTGTGTTGGACCATTCTGCCATTATCCCTGTATTCATTCTTGTTGCACGGTATGTGAGTGCATTGCATAGTTTTAAACGTGTTGAGAACAAGACATGATGGATGTAGTTCACTGGCAGCATGGAAGAACTGGCCTTCCATAAAGATGCATTAAAATTTCTTTTACATTCCTAGTACTAAACATTGCTATTAAGCCACAGTAAAAACTAACTAGATAACATTTGTCTGTTGTACTGAACTATGTGTATATATTCCTTAGGGAAAAAAAAAAAAAGTGTGATGTGAAACTGTTCTAACAATAAAAACTATTTTTCTGTATATTTCTAGCGCTCTATCAGTTTCCGTAGTGACAGTCGTCCAGATCTGTTCAGTCCACGACCATGGTCTCGAAATATGCCGCCTGCTAACACAAAGCGGAGAGACAGCAAACTGTGGAGTGAGACCTTTGATGTTTGTGTCAATCACATGCTTACATCTAAAGAAATCAAGCGTCAAGAGGTACAATTTAATTTTTTTGCCATAAATTTCATGTTCAAAAGTCACCTTTAAGGCATGGAGTTGAGGAATGCTAGTAGGTATTAGGATAGCACTTGAAGCTTTCCTGAAATTAAACAGAACGTCATAACCTCCACTAGAAGCAGAATTCTATGCCTAGTCTGTATAATTCAAGCTATATTAATGATTATATTATTTTTTAAAATCAGCTGATCATATTTCCCTAACAAATGTGAAGTTACTGAGATATATTGTACTGTGATTGCCTGTACATGTTCAATGTAACAGTTTCTGTTGTGATGGTTGATATTTTGATGTCTCATTTTATTCTAGTATGATATATGAGCATGCTATTTCAGGAACAGGTATTCATCAAGTGATACATAAGCACAGAAATGCACAATCATTTCCCTTGTTGGAAAACAGTGTCTTTAGTTTTTAGTCTAGTCTTTAGTTAGTCTAGTCTAGTTTTTAGTTTAGTAGGAAGTTTTCAGTGCTAGGAAGATGAAATATTAACCAAAAGATGTATTTTTCAAAGCAAAAAAAAAAGAGTGGTTTTGATGGTTTGTCATGAAATTCTAAACAATTCATGTTACAGCCAATGACAGAGCTCCCATGGAATCAAGAATTTTCTTTTTTCTACAGAAATTTCTAGCAGTATCAACAAAGTTTATAACAATGTATCTGAGAATACTTCAGTGACTGAGTCATAAATCAAACAATAGTAACAACAAGCATTTCTTGTGCAGATTTTAACACTGTACAAGAATTCATAGGAAATTACTTTTAAAATTGAGAACTTCAAAGGCAGCATATTGAAAAATAAACTGTAGGAACTGTTTGCATAGTGTAACAGTCATTACTGTCTTGGGACAGAAGCCAGGACCCTTCGTAGAGCCCAAATAAATGAGCTGTATTCCAGGAAGTTTTGCATTTCTGCTTTATTTTGGTTCTTCTGCTGCATGCCTCGACAGAATATCTGAACCACTTCCAGGCGTGCGCTGTCAGTTAACTCACACTATGGCAAGCCTTCCACGTATGCACATTATCAAGCTAGGAGAATCTGCACTAGCTGAAGTTGTTCTTCCATGAGTTACACAGATTGAAAGCCTTGACTGTCAAGTTAGTAATTCTAACTCACAAAAATGTCATTAGCATTTACTGTACAGCAGTTTAGAATGAAATCATGCAATAAGTAGGTACAATAGTATTTTGATAAGCCAGCGTATTAAGGTGGTGGTTATTTTTAATCTGCCACTATAAAGTCTCAAATCTGCTTCAAGAGAAGTAACTAATACCAGCAGACAGCTAAGTAGAACTCTGCCTTCATTAAAAAAAAAATAAATCGGTACCAAAATAAAAGTGCTCCCTGCCAAAGAAATGGTTTAAAAAAGATCTTACTTACCAGACCACCTACAACTTTTACTACTGCATGTGTAAAAATGGAACACAACAAACTACCATGCAAATAGTTATATAAACAGTTAAGATATAGTTGAGTCAAAATATCACACTGGAGATAGCTGCCCCATCTGGAAACACATCCATTTGAAAAAAAAAATGAATTGTGTGGGTATTTCAGACAAGCATTTTATGAGCACTCTGATACAGCTTTGTGTTTAAAAATGCTGCACATGATTCTGTAGCTATGGAATAAAGCCTTACTTTATTTCTGCTATTAGATTTAGCAGAGAGATTCTGCTACATGGTATTAAGACAACTGCTCAGAATATAACATCAACTCAACAAGTTGAGTACAGATAAATTAAAGGTATTTCATAATGTTTGTATCTCTTTTTACAGGCTATCTTTGAACTTTCCCAGGGAGAAGAAGACTTGATAGAAGATCTGAAGTTAGCAAAAAAGGTCTGTTTTTAAAAAAACAAACCACAACAAACAGTATTCATTGGTTCATATCACTTTCAAAATAACCCTTGCTTTTTATAATTACTGAGACAGTAAGAGGGGAAAAAACCCAAAATATATTTCTATTTTCCCATTCTTCCTGAAACCCTTAAATGTGCTGCTTTAAATTTTTTAACATATGAAATGGATGGCTTTAAGATACTCTTATGAAACTTTAATATTCTCAGCAATTGCTCTGGTTTCACGTACAGGGAGCTTCAAAGGCTATGACTAATTTTCCAACTACCAATGATACATTAATGACAGAGCTCCCCTTTTTTCTTTTCAGGCTTATCATGACCCAATGCTTAAACTTTCCATAATGACAGAGCAAGAGTTGAACCAAATTTTTGGAACGCTGGACTCTCTAATTCCTCTACATGAAGGTAAAACTCAAATGGTCTTTGCCTGTGTTACTATTGCACATAGGTTTATAGTAATCTGGTTCATTAAGTGAAGTTTCTTTTTTTTTTTTTTTTTTTTTTTTAAAAATCACGATCAGATCTTCGTAGACGACTTCAAGAAGTCAGGAAACCTGATGGATCAACCGAACATGTTGGCCATATCCTTGTGGGTTGGGTAAGGCAGAGTTTTTAATCAATTTGGGGAATTTAGTTTGGAGCTGCAACATAGTTTTTACATTTATCAGATAATTGCCTTTCCATATCTAGCATAACGTCAAAAATATATTCTTAAAGTATTTTTAAAGGCAAGACAACTATTCAGACACATAATGGAATCTTTTCTCTCTTTGGGGATTTTCCATGAAAAGATGTAGACTAGGATATGATTCTTAAAGCTCTTTATTCTTCAGGAGGCGAGCAGTATTTAATATGCTTCAAATAGAAATCAAGAGTCAGACTAGAGTTTGTCTGATTTAGATCATTTAAGAATCTGCCCCCATTTGTATTCTGGTTTCCTAGGGAAATGAAGCTTGAACAGTCACACTGTGTAATAGCACCCTGCAGTTATTTTTGAATGTCAGTCTGTTCCAGTCAAGGTAACAGGTAGTCGTTAGTGCTGTCAAAAACAATAAGTTTCTAAAAGTTTGTTAAAATAAGGCAGACAGGGATACACGAGAGATGCTATTGCTGCCCCACAAAAGAAAATTTGGTAAGTTCACTTTCTCTAGCATCCAGCAACATAAACACTGAAAATAGCTTTTGTTAGTTTCGATGATAAAATTGCTTGTTATATTAAAAAAAGCTATTTTTAAAAGGATTTAGATATATGAAAAGGTTACTTGTAAGTATACGTAAGTAATGAAATTGAGCAGGAAAGAAAGGGCTTGAAATATTTAAGGGATTAGGTAATAACATACTTAGCAGCTCTGTGTGAAACAATAGCCTATTGTAAACATGAGAAACACGATCACTACTAGTAAATAATGCAAGTAGTTAAGCTTGTAAGTGTCAAATTACATTATGCAAAGAAAAACAGAGATAATTTTAAATATATTTATGTTCTGGTGTGTTTGAACACCAATGAACTTCTCTTGGTCCAAACATGTCCAAGTGTAACTTCCTTTGAAGATTTTACATATAATTGTGTCTTAATATAGCAGGTTTTGTAAATGGATATATTGTTCTAATCAACATACAAGCTATTTTTTTCAGATTTAAGGTACAGTTCTCTCATCTTAGTTTGGTCAGGGTTCTTGAGGGCAATGTAGAAGTTTGCTTATCTAAAAAAGGCCAGATCTGGGAGTACTCATTCCTAGGCTTTTGTTTCCATTCACAATTAAAATCAGACCTCTATGTATTGTCTGCACTAAGTAGTGCTCAGTCATAGATATTTTTAATGCTTTGGAATAAAATTTGAGATCTGTAGGAACTGAGAGATGAGCTAGTGGTTCTAAGTTATTTAAATGATTTTTAAATCACTAACAAGGTGGTCAGCGGACCCTTGTAAACCTTATCTTTGTTTGAAGCATTACAATCAATAAATTGTGGATAAATCTCCAGAAAAAAGTTTCTCAGCATGAGTTCTGACATCCTGAATCACTTGAAACCTTTCTATATAGCAAACGGTGCTTTGTTTTAGCTGCAGAATAATTTATTCTTTTCTTCAGCTTCCATGCCTAAACTCCTATGATAGCTACTGCAGCAATCAAGTAGCAGCCAAAGCTTTATTGGATCACAAGAAACAAGATCATAGAGTGCAAGATTTCCTACAGCGCTGCTTAGAGTCTCCTTTTAGTCGCAAACTGGACCTTTGGAATTTCCTTGACATCCCAAGAAGCCGTTTGGTTAAATACCCATTACTTCTCAGAGAGATTTTGAGACACACACCAAATGATCATCCAGATCAGCAGCACCTTGAAGAAGCTGTGAGTTGCCGTTGGGTTTGCGGGCTTTTTAGGAAATTATAGCACTTTTAGCTCATTAATGAATTAAGGGATGCTACATAAAATATGGAAATACTAATACAGAAACAGAAACTACTCTGCGTGGTTGGGTCTTAACACTGTCTTAGTCTTATGAAGTACATTAGTCTTCCTGTGTGCCATTCTGCTATACGCACATTGGGCCAAGCTGATCCCACATAAATCTCCTGGGATCAGTAGATTCTTGAATTATCTGTTTGGGCATGTATGTCTCAACCCATTCCCCCACCACCCCTCCAGTTATTTAACAGAGGAATTTGGTCGGTCTAAGCAACCTATGATCACAATTAGAGTTGACTAAAATCAACAGAACTTCACATCCACATGCCCAATTAAGGAGCCATATTTTAAGTTTCAGATAAATTGATCTCAAGGCTGCATAGTATCAGGTAGTTCAAGATAGGGAGCGTATTTTTATAGGAAAGGCAAAGCTTTCTTTTTTATGTTTTTTTTTAAAGTAAAAAGGCAAGATAATTATTACTTTAAATTGTAAAATTGTAGGTATATGCAAGTGGAATTGTAAAATAAAATTAATTTACCTTATTTTCAGAGGGTAACTTTCATAATGAACAAATACTGAGAATTTAGTGTTTTGGGCTAGTTGCATGTTTTGCAGGATAAGGATCTTGACAGTCCTTCTGTTTCTTGTTCTCTGCTATGATGCAGCGGTTTGCAAAGAATATAACCTATTTTAAATAAATATTTTTAAGGCAGATTATTTGTCCTGTGTCATTTATTGGCACATTTCAGCTGACAAAAATACATCAATGATTACATTTCTTACATCTGTTTATCTTAATTCTGCCTATTTAGGCTTGATATAAGGAGATAAAAATCAGATTTTTAAGCCATTGTTAGAAACAATGATAAAGCCAAACTAAAGTGTCTTTCTTCACAGTTGTCTGCCTAATTCTGTTGCTAATATTAATTCTCTTATAGACTCATCTGCAAAAAATTCATGTAAACTAACATGTATTTTCTTGTACCTACAGTTAAAGTTATTAGGAGATAGCTCTGAATATTGGACTGTGTAATTAAAGTTTGTGTGTTTTCATTGTTTTTCTGTAGATAAACATAATTCAGGGTATAGTGGCTGAAATCAACATAAAGACTGGTGAATCTGAATGCCAGTATTACAAAGAGAGACTTATTTATCTTGAAGAAGGCCAAAGGGATTCATTGATTGATAATTCACGTGCTGTATGTTGTCATGGTGAACTGAAGAACAACAGGGGAGTGGTAAGGAATAAATATTCTGTCATAAATAGCTTTTAAAGATGCCTTCATTTTGCATGACAGCTAAAAGAACTGGGAGTATATGTACAGAAACATCAACCTCTCATATATAGGAAGTTGATCAATATTAACTATTATATGTAACACTCATCTTGTTTGTTAGCAGTCAGATATCTGTATATGGAGATAATAAGCTTATATGTCTGTCTGTCTCTTAAGGGGACCTAACAATATCCTGGCTAAACTGTAAATCCGACAAACTTCAATAAAATTTTCAGGGAAAAAAAGCAAATAAGAAACATATTTCTGGTCTCAGAGACATGACAGTAATGTCTGTAATGACAAAATGTACTAACAAATTTTAAATCTGTGAAAGGCTGTGGTTATTAAGAATGTTTTGCTTCGTGATTTGTTGAAGTCAAAGTTAGTTTATTGACCAGAGAAATTTAGTATTTGATACTGCGAATTCTAGCCTCCTGGAGTCTGCACTATTGATAATTGTCAGAAGCTGAGCTTTCCATTTAAAAAACAAACAAACAAAACCAACAAAAAAACCCCCACCAAACATGCAGATTAGTAGAGATATTAATTGAAGAGAAACCATTCTGAGATTTCCCCCCCCCCCCCCCAAGGTTGAATAGAAACAATATGAAATTTTGAACAAACAATGAAGAAACCATCTTTTTCTCATTAACCGAGCTTATGAAAGTTTAATTAAAAAACCTTAACAAACAAAATAAGCAGGATTCTAAATGCATTTTTCAGCATTGGGAGAGCTTCTATGTAGCATGTTTATGCCTACAATAGAAGAATCATGTTTTACTATACGACTGAGATGGAAAGATGAAAGGGATGCTGTTTTCTGGTTCACCTGATAAAAATCAGGCAGGTGGTTAATGTGTAGCAAACTAGCGGGCAGAAACTGGCAATTTCAATCTTTCTGGTGAACTTTATTTATTCCATCCATACTATCCCTACCTTTCTTTGGTAGCATAACATTAAGTATATAATTAATTATTTTCAAATTATGAACAGTATTTAAAATTCCCCAGCATTTTTGGGAGGTTTCCACGCTGATGTATTCCTTGACTACAATTGACAGTGTGGGATATTTTTATGTTTGTGCATTTTTTTGATTTGGGGTGAAAACCAGATCATTTATATTTTAATGTTATCAGGCTCCTTTTCACACCTGCTATTACAGAGTATTAGCTTTTGCAGCAAATAAGAGATCTTGCATTGAAAGGAGTTTCATATGATTTCCATTAAAATCAGCCATAATAAAGCTTTACATTATGAAGAATCGGCAACATTTTGTGGATCATAATTTGAAAATTGAGTTTCAAAATAAACAAGGTTATTTTTGCTGCACATTTAGAATATTTAAAAAAACCCAACAAAACCAAACCCCAACCCCACTTAACAAGCAAACATCCATACCTGTCTGTACCTCAAATGTTTGATCTCATACATTTTTGCTTTCTTTCATATTTCACTCATATGAGAAGGTACCCATTTGTTGAACTTGCAAACTGAAACACACAATGGATAGATTCTTTACCGGACTCTGCATAGAGTCGCTGTTAATGCAAAAGATGGACAGCACTGTGGCATAAGGAACAAACAAAAAGTTTAGGTGTGTGCCCTGCAAAGACTTAGCAAGGCACAAGTGGAAGAAAATTGGACTATTCATGGGTATAAAATGAGGCATCTGTCATGGAAAAACATAACTAAGATGGATTTTTTCAATATCAGAAGACTGCCAAGGCATATTAGGAAAGCTTTCCACTATAATTACCTCTTCCATTGTAGTTTTCTGAAAACATGAGCTACTGGAAGATGGGACAGTGAGCTAAATGGATCAGAAGATCTGTCGTGTGTTAAAACTGCGAATAACGCATCTATTTAGCTTTAGAGTCAAAGAAGCGTTACTTGTGACTGAGAAGAAAATTTTGGCAGTGAAAAACAAAAAATTATTTTCAGTGAATGATACCAAGTGAAATAAATCTAAAATTTCCGTTTGCTTATTATTGGAAGCCACTGGAGATCGTAAAATGTGTGGAGTAACATAATTTAAAGATGATAACAGGTGACTTGTGCCACCTAGGAGCAAAAGTAATTTTCTGAGCTTCAAAGAGCTGTGGTGAAGCTGATTGTGAGCAGCATGTGAATTGTAAAAAGATTGCTCGTAACTGTTCATTGAAAATATTCGGATGAATAAGATTGCCTGTTTCTTAGTAACACAGGTGGGAGAGAAAAGTTAAAAGTGGGTGTCAGAAAGAAGAATGCGTATGAACATGCTGCTGTAGAGACAGCTTTGAAATGTCATGTACATTTCAAGGCCTCAACACAAAAAGATTAATTAGGATCATGACATAAGAAACTTAGAAGAAGATAGGAAAATAATTTTAGAAGTTTTTTAATTGTTGTATTTATGTACTCACATACTATTGTGCCATAAGACGTTTAAGTAGTGGGAAGAGAGAAATCCTAATTTTAACTGTTGAAAACACAAGGTTATAACATAGAAGAGTTTAAATAAATTTGGTTTAATGATGTTCTAAATAAGGAATAATGCTTTATTATTTATTAATCTTTAACAGAAACTGCACGTCTTCCTCTTTGAAGAAGTGTTGGTGATTACTCGAGCTATCACCCATAATGAACAGCTCTGCTACCAGCTGTATCGGCAGCCAATTCCAGTGAGGGAGCTTGTGCTAGAAGACTTGCAAGATGGAGAGGTGCGATTGGGTGGATCCATACGTGGTGCATTCAGCAACAATGAGAGAAGTATGACTACACCTTTTTTTATTTGCTCAGATAGGACCATTATAACCTTAAGACACCTGCCAATGAGACATCAGAATGTTTTCTCTAAAATTCACATTATCTATATCCAACATCTTGATTTTTATTTCAAACTGTTTTATTATGTTGTAACTTGCCTCGTTTAGATTGTTTCTCAAGTTCACTGTATTGATAGTGGGATTTCTCCACACAACTGCTTCTGTACTGAATTGAGAAGGGGAGAATATGTAGAATGTACTGGCAAAACCACAAAGTTATAAGCAAGTGTGTTTTGAAATCTTAAGCTTTAGCTTTTGTGACTTTCCTTGTATTATGGAGGCAGATTGCTATTCCATAACTAAGTCTTTCAGCTGACAGATAAGTAATGCAGTGCTCAGTGTTAAGACTGCAGCTATTCATGGTGATGTCAAGAGGTAAGAGTTAATGTCCTTCTAATTAAGCATATCATAAAGATGCTTGTTTCTGTTACAAGGGTCCTTTGAATCACACTTCTCTTGTGAAAACTTTGAGGGTTTTTTGTGTGTATTCGCTTTATTAGCGAAGTGAATGGAAGAGAAGAGGCAATCTCCGGCAGACAGAAGGCACAGTATTCAATGAAGGTTCTAGAAATCTGCTTTGCAGAGAAGTAGGAGGAAAGGCATTGAAGTGTGGAAGGCTTAATCCTTCTGATTCACTTAAATCTTTATGGGTAGCTCATGTGTGGCAGAACCAAAATTGCTTAAATCAGCAATAAGAAATTATTAGAAGTGCTTGTGGTATTCTGTGTTCTTGCCCCACGAAACAAGGGAGATACCCAGACTCTTCTCTCTGGTCTGACATGGTATTGGCAGGAAAACACCTTAGTCAAAGACTTTGCAGATTCTGTTATTTAAATATAATCTTTGATTATAAAATCCATTCAGCCAAAGCATTCAGGGTTTTGATAATGCATCATTTCTTTCAGTCAAGAACTTCTTCAGAGTCAGCTTCAAAAATGGATCCCAAAGCCAGAGTCACTCACTCCAAGCCAATGACTCCTTCAACAAACAACAGTGGCTTAACTGTATCCGCCAGGCCAAAGAAAAAGTTACCTGTGCAGGCAAAGCTGGCATGCTGAACTCGGAAGCACATTTTCTTTTGTCACCAAATGGAAGCAGAGTACCCCAAGGAGAAACCACGCTCGAGCAAATGGACCAATCAGACTGTGAGTCAGACTGTAGTATGGACACCAGCGAGATCAGCATTGACTGTGAACGTATGGAACAGACAAACTCTTGTGAAAACGAAAAGCAAATAGAAACCAATGTTTGACAAAAACTTACAGTTCATGGAAGAAAATCTGTCTCTTACCTGTACAGTATTTGCATTCCATACATGGAAACATTTGGAGAAGCACTTTTAAAATTTTTTTGTGACAATGTCAATGCAGTCTTTCTTGTATTCGTACCTATGAGTGTAGTACTGTAACTGCCGATCTGTATAAGCTGGAATCTCTTGCAATTCATGTCCCGTGATTATATTCCGTAAACGTCTAAGGTGGATGAAAGAGGTACTTGACCAGTTATTCTCAATGTCCTGCTGTAAACAAAATCTCTAAACTACTGTTTATATGTGCATTACATAAAGAATCTTTTCATAATTTTTAAAGTATTTTATTGGCCCTTTCATGGGGCAGCTGAAGATGTGGACCTAATATGGAGTTTCAGGATGGGGGATCAAGAGCGTAAGTTTTCATAAAGACACGGAAGGAAAAAAGTTTCTTGGAGAAAAAGAAAAACATCTTGTAGTAACCTATCTGAACTCTTGCAGTGTTAAATCAACAAGAACTATAAACAACGGGCCATGTAACCAGGAACCCTTTGGGGATTAATTTTTCAAAATGAAGCACTGTCCTAAGATCTAGCAACCAAACTTATTAAAATCTCATCAGTTTAAGTGGTGAGCATAGTCCTATGGTTTATTTAGCTAAGCATGTAATGCTAAAAATAATCAACTGGGGAAAACCAAACCCAACCAAACCTCTACAGCCAGCACTGAATTAAATGAAATGCTGAGAATACTGGGTATTTGTAAATAAGCTTGTAGTTTGCTTTCAGTGCCACATATATATATATATAAAAAATCCCAAACAGGATCTAAGAACGGAAAAAAACTTTTGCTTGTGAATAGGCCCTCTTCAGCATTTTGCACTCCACTGACCTCCACTGTTGGTTTTAAACACCACTAAACTAATGTTAAAACATTTAATTTTCTGTAAATGTCTGTTTACAATTACATGTAGTTGGGTTTTAAACTAAGTGACAATTTTATATAAATGGTGCTCTACAAATACCCTTTCGGATTATGTAGAGAAAGTGTAAACAAAAAGGGAATTGCTTTTCCTTTAGGATGTATTACATCCTTTATAGTTTTCTCAAGTTTTGTTTTAAAAGTTTTTGTTGCATTTAATCTCATGCTGTAATTGGAAATGTTACTGTGTTTTCTGGTGGCTGATTTAATCTACTCATTATGATGAGAAGCAGATAAGTCACTTAAATGCAGTCTAAACCAGTTCAAATCCTGTTACTTTTTCAGGAATCCCTGGGTAATATTTTATTTCTTAGTATAAGAAATAGTGCCAAGCTCTGAAAATTATATATTAATGAAATTAAATGATCCTTGATATTACACAAGATAACCTGTGCAAAGTACTCGTACCAACTGAAGTAGAAAAAATGCTAAGTTATTGCCAAAAACGTTTTTCTTGTGTTCTGCAAGTTTACAGAAAATAGTAAATGTCAAGTATCTTACATATATATATGCTGATGCGCATTACAGAAATCAGTGTGACAAGATGATAAACAATATAAAACAAGGTATTTTTATTTTTAAAGAAAAAAAAAGTCATTTTTACCCTATAGAACATATTTCTGTATTTATAGTTTTTAAAAAAAGTAAATTTTCTGTTTCAGGCTTTGTAATTTATTTCAACTGCTTCATTTTTAAAGTTGAATGAGTATGCCAGTGAAGATGAGAGAAAGGAAAAATTTGCAGAAGAAAAGGCATAGGAAAGCATACTAGATGATGAACCACTTTTTATGAAACCTGTTCAGCAAAACGTTTAAAAAGAGTGGAAAGCATGTAAAGTGTTCAGATAGAGAAGGAATGAATGAATGTGTGTATTGACTTTTTTTTTTTAATAATAGCCTTAAACTTTTCTGGAAGCATTTCAAATAAATTACGTTACACCACGTTGATTTTTATTTTGTTTGGTGGTTTCTGCAAGATGACTACGAAAAGATTTCAGTGGTGCACACAATAAACCTTAACATCTGTGACCAACTCTTATATTTGGTTCTCGTGGAAGTGTTGCATATTTGGATTTAATTTTCTAGATACAAAACAATAATGAAGAAACAAGTTACTGCACTCAATTCAGCACATTCCCCAAAGTTTTATATAATGAATTTAGTAAGTAGGTGGAACAAAAAATTAATATCCTGACATCAGTTTCTCTCTCCTGATTCCTTGTGGGGCACATTTCTGCTAAATAATATTCCAAAAAACTGAGAAGATGAATTTCAGGGCATGTAAAAAGCCACCAACCAGCCAGCGAATCTCAGATTCATTTACATTTGTGTACTATCATCTAGCATCATCTTTGACTTACTGTACTGCAAGTGTTCCAGTTTTGCTTTGTAGTTGACATGCACTTAGCAACTTACTTGATGTAATAAAGCTTAATGATGTTGTTTTCAAATCATCTTGAGGAATAAGAGAATCCTATTATCATTCTGGACTTGGTTAGCTTGTTTGGCTTCTAGCACTTTTAAAATGCCACTGGTTTTGAAAGAATGAGTTTTGATTGGGGGGAAAGGGGGACATGGACAATAAAATGTACCAAAAAGGATGAGTAAAATGTAAAATGCTGAATGCAAAGAAAAGAGGAAATATAATATAAGTAAATATGTCAAAGTGATAATCATGGTTAGCGATCCAGGTGTCAGAAGAACAGTCTGAGAAGTTGCAGCAGTGAACTGGCACGCATACTGCAGCCATGCAGCACGTGTAGGCCACTGCATGGTTCTTATGCATAAAATTGCTTCTGATTTCTCAGGTCACCCACCGTTGCATGTATAGTGCTTCCACTAACGAGATACTTCAAAGCTGTATAATCTTCATATTGGATCTCCGAAGGATCTTAGAGCACTCGTGTCTCAGATGGAAGAATAGTGCCATGGCAAGAAGGTGAACGAGAACAGGTGGAGTGCATAAAAGAAAGGCAAGGGGCAGTGAAGAGCCTGAGGTGTCGAGGGCTTCTGAAATCACCATGAGAGTATGGCAAAATAAGGAGAGGACTGCAGATGCTGGATGAGTTCCAGCTCCTCTAAATCTGAGGTATGAGTACTCTGGATCTAGTGATCTGGGAGAAGAGCGAGTGACGAAGCATCTTGTTCTCAAGACTAGGAAGTCTGGTGTGACACTTTCAGACCTTTTTGACAAATCTTACCAAGCTGTTCACAAATATTCCCAGGAAGAGCAGACAGTCAGTGTAGTCTTGGCTTGTGGAAAGATCTGATGAACCAGAAGTAATAAAGGTAAAAACATAGATTATCTTGACTGACAAAGAGAGGTAAGCAAAGAGAACACCCTTGAAGTCTTTGAAATACATGGGTTCTCCGAGACTACAAAAGAAAATTTAACTCTGTGGTCTTTGGTTCCCTAGATTTGGTCTGCAGCACTGAAAAGAACAACACAAGGATGAAAACCTGTCTTCTGGAACACAAAGGTCTGCTAGGAGACAGCAGGAGCACTTAATTTAAAGTCTGTGAAGCTCAGTACCAGGGAATCAGTTCCTGGAATCTGGGTAAAAGATAGGCCCGAAGTTGAACTCCAAGGTAGACAAGGTATTTCTCAGTGGTGACTTCTATTCAGCATGACCCACCTGAACCAGGGAAACTGCCTTAGGAATGCCTCTGCAATAGTGAGAAGCAGGTTTCTTGAGGCATCACAGAAATTTCTAGAGTTTGAAAGATACATCAGAACATTTAGACATCAGTTTAATCAACTGCTGTTTTCAAAAAAGTTGATGTTTTATGGTGATGGTGTCTGGCACTTAGATCCTGGGAATCAAGACTATCTGTGAAAAGAGCGAGAAACTGAGTTCTACACATATGGAAGAAGGTTTGAATATGGGGTTCCAGTTCCAGAATGGACAGTTCTCCCTTATTTAATGCATACTTATGAATACTGATTTTAAAATACTGTAGTCTGTTCTACAGGTTGATGCTGCCATCTACTGGAAATAATTGTGTCTTTTTAGAGCTGATTTTATTACTTTAAATTTTAACTATTTTAAGATTTTAAATGTATTAGTAACTATAAAATGAAAGTCAGTATTTTAAAAAATACAAGTACATCTTTTCAGACTTTTACCTGTGGATCACAAATTTGTTAGAAAAAAAAGTACGAGGTGAATTTCTGCTACTAATCCCTGGCTTTACAGAGAGAAGTCGAGAATACTTCCCAGTTTGTCTCACCTTTTACTATCATATGCATGTTTCCTCCATGGCTGGTAAATGATACTTAACCTCTTTCCAAGTGTGTAAATTAGGTTTTGTGTCTGAATTTTCTGAAGGTGCCTCTCTTTGCATGGTCTACAAAGAAAGTTTAATTGTACAGTTCTCCTCTTTTTGATCTCCTGGCACCTAAAGTTTAGTCAGCATGAATACCCTTGCTCAAAATTAGCACTTAAACATTTGAAGAAATGAGATTTGTTTTGCATCACTGGAGTAACTTGTGGAAAGTAAAACAGTAATTTCTAGTTATTTAAATTAAAATGTAACAATACGCTCAGACAAAACAATATTTTGTATTTCTAAATTTGCTTTCATAAAAGAATACCAAGGTAATGTCTGGAGCAAGCACCCATGTTTGTTCCTTGAGCAAGGGGCCTTATGCAACACTCCCTTATAAATGTCTTTTATTTTGTAGCTATTAATCTGATCTAAATCCATATTACTAATGTATTACATATAATCTGATTTCAGAATCAAAGGGATCTGCAGCTGCTTTGTACTTGGGTGGGAAACCACTTGGTGCAAGCCAGGGAGTCGTGGTTGAATGCTTGGCAAATACCAGAAACCACAGAAACCAGAAACTAGAAAGACAGTAAGGTGACAGATTTTATAACTTTTTTTACTTCAGAGTATTCAACTGATCTCTTCCTATAATTTTTCACTGAACTTCTGTTTTGTGAATGGGGATTCTTGCCACCTGTGTTACTGATGTAAGGATATTTAAGATTCACGGTGGTACAGTGATCCAGAATTGTTACATCATTTATCAAGTAGTACTTAGTAATTTTTGTGATGATCTCTCCCAGTCTTATGTTAATTAATACATGAAAGAATTTTGTACAACTGCAAAGATGTGTCTTTTTAAAGCAAGTGGTACATTAGGAAAACATCTTTGTTTGTTGTTCGGTAAATGAGGAAGACTTCTTCATACATTGCATTTGTTATGCTACACACTTAATGATGTTTATATTTCTCAATATTGAACATGTCTAAATACATTGTAAACATATGCTTTAGCGTATTTTCCAGTATTTGTTGTGAGAGAAAGCAGTAGTAAGCATAATTCGCACAGTTACAGGGTAATTTTAGTAGACAGTAGTTTCCCCACCCTGTTGCTTTTTTTTGTAGTTGTTTCTTTAGTGCTTGTTGAATTTATTGGAAGGGTTCTATAATAGATCCATACAAAATGGCTCCATTCCAGAATTACTGGAATACAGTGAAGTTATGCAATTTAGACTTAATGTTTCTTTTGACGTCTTTGCAATCTTACTGTCATAAGGTTATTCGCTGTCTGTGGATAGGTCTTCATCTAATGTGAACACCATGTCAATAGAGCTATGATAATTCAAACAAGGAAATAAATGTCATGTATATATACATATAAGTATGCTAAAATTATGTTTGCCTAAATTAAAAAAATCATATACACTTACTATATCTATACATATTAACCTAATGGCTACTGGAGGACCTAATTTTCTTTTGAAAATTCTTTCAACCCTGCCCAAAAGCATAGGTACATTTTTCAGTAATTCTTTTGGAACAAGAATAGACCATATGGTTGGAAGGACCTACATTAAATAAATGTGAACCT